TGTATATATATATATATATATATTGGTACAGGATAAGTCCACATCATCCACCAGGGCAAGCCGCGGAAATACAGACATCAGATTCTTAATGAGCCATGCAAACAAAATTCACAGTTTGAAATCAAAATTTATCATAATTTATTTGACAGAGCGTTTGATATGGTGAGTAGTTAATTGAAGGAAAACATTATTTAACGACTTCCTCGAATGAGAGGATGATACTGAATAACGAATTGTAAAAGATGTGTAAGGAAGCGGTCGTGGCCTAATTTAAGGTAATATACCCGAATTTTCCTTGAGGGGCTGAGGAAAACCAAGAAAAATCTCAGTATGGATAGGCGTCCTCAGGGCCTAGATTTGAACCCGGGACCTCTCGAATACGAAGCAGGAGTACACTCGACCTCGACGATCGGTTAAACGGTCTTGTAGAATGCATGGGAAGATGAGTAATGCATATGAATAGGAAAATGTCAATAGACCGCTTGGGGTCATAGACGTTGGTAGAAAGATAACATTAATGTGGATTTTAAAGAAGTAAGACGTAAGGGTGCCGACTGGCTTCATCGGATTCATGCTGGGGTGCAGTGGTGACCTCTCGTGAGATCTGTAATGGAACTGACAGTTTCATAAAATGCGGGCAATTTGATCATCTTTTGAAGATTGACTAATTTTTAGAGTCGGTTTGACACAGATTTTGTAAGAGTGGAGTCACATCCGTTTTGCACCAAACCATACGTTGTGCCGTATCATTGCAACGAATGGGGGGAACCTACTTTAGCATCTGTTGCAAAGTAGCTGCACGCTACGATGATTCTGCAGTGAGATAATCCGCTTAGGTAATCCGACATTGCAGTCCATATGCCCTCTTCAAGTTTCGTCTGTGTTACCATGAAATCAGGTGTAACGGTTCGCAAGTAACACATTTAAGACGGTACTTTCCTGCTATCCGTTTCCTTTTATTTCCTTTTATTTTCCTCCCTTCTTTTTAACAGCACACAACATAACGTCATTTTGGTACAGTTGTTCAATAAGGTGCTTTATAATTTCTGTGCTTCTATTTCTTTGGCCATTAGGAATTAGAATAGGGTGGATAAACCGTGGCAAGCAAAAAATTTGATCCACGAAGCGTTGGTAATCATATGTTGTTAGTAACATGAACATAGATCAAGTTTTATTGTCTCATAAATAATAAACTTAAAGTATTTTCATAGAAATACATAAACAAACAAAAATTTCAAAATCTAGATGACGGACTTGCAGATGTTGGGGTCTGTAGTACGTAGGCCTGTATTTATTATTTGCATTTATTGTATTTACAATTATATATATGAACATCGAGTGAAGTGCACTAAAATTAGATTTAATATGTATCGTAACACTTCGAGAAAACAAATTAAAATTTAATTAATTAATAATACCGCAGTTTTTATGTTTTATACCTAGAATTCATGAGAACTCGATGTAAATAATTTACAGTAACTTAATAAATTTAAGTAAGTTACGTATTTCAGTTCGTTTAACTGTCTGATCCTCAGACGCTTAGAAATTATCCGATCTCACACTCCGATTAAAAGTAATTCTTCCCTTCCGCTTTAATTTCTCTAATTTTACAGATTCTGATTCAATTATTAAACAATCTTTTAGGCTTCTATAAGGATTCTTAGCAGAGGGTTAAGTACAGCTTAATGACTGTACCTGCACATATCATTACGAATATAATGACATTTATACCCTTCACCTAATGTTACTAGGGGTGGTCAAACCAAAGAATTTGATATAGACAGGAGATTTTGCACACATTGTATAACAATCCGCGATAACAGTGTTTGATCCAAGTTCATGTTGAATGTCAAACCATGTTAACGTTTAAGAACAAATATTTTAAAAAAATATGTATTATAATTAAAAAATGTTGTGGTTTAACGTGACAGGTCGACTGTAGGTAAAAAGTCACGCGGTTCGTTAATAACGTTACTTCGGAAACTTTGCGAAGTTATTTTACATCATTAAGCAAGCATATTAAATTGGTTCACGTATTAAGTTCAACACCTTAATAAAGCCAGTAGTTTGCTGAGGCGGGCTAGGTTGAGATCGACACACAATCATGATACCTTCGCCCTTTCAGCAAGCATCAGAGTTTATCGACCATGAATGGGAGGAAACTGTAGCCTAGTGCGTACGAGACGTTGCAAAAAACCATGTAACTTAGCTTTTTATACACTTTTCACTATTTAAACCGATTGTTCTATTGAACAAACAAAAGGGCTGGGTACTACAAACATGTAAAGAATATTATATCCTTGTCCTATACTTTTAAAGCGGATAGATGTACATTATATCGTGTACACTAAATAAATGATTGCTTTTTAATTGCCCTATGATAATATAAAGTTAATAGACATAGTGAAAAGTAAGGCATACCGTCATTGAACCTTAATAGGAACACTGAGAACTAACGATGGCTATGCCGCATTCTTTTATAAATGTTTTGGACATCGTGAAAATTTAATATTCGGATACTAATAATCTACAGAAACAGGTTTTATTCAAGTTTGGGGTTTAGAGTCTTGGGAGATGAAAGCCAATAAATAAAAAAGTAACAGGCACAAAATTAAAATATCAAGGAAAGAATGTAAGAAACAATTGATGAAAGGAAATAAGATATACAACAGAAAAGAGAAAAGACGAAAGAAAGAGAGAAAGAATGAAGGGCAGATGAAAAATAACGGGCACGAGGTCATATTACTTGTGGTACTTGGTCTGTTACCATAGGAAATGCAAAGATATAGGACGTTTGAGAACAAGTACTAACTATTCATCTCAATATAGAGAGTTTAAAATTATGTGAAATAATTTCCACTACCCGCACTACTCCTTAAAGCCGTGTTCTTCAGCTAAAGGACTACGCTAACTTGTTTACCTTGAACAGCAATTCTAAGCTAACCATTGATGAACGACTGACAGAATAGAACTTGTCTTCACTTTCCCTCTGTTTTATTGAGTCCCGATCAGCACAGATGGATGCGGTCACAGAGAGAATGTAAGTACAGGAAGCTACAACTTTTGAAGTTATTCGTTCTTTAACTTAAACATATTTAATAATGAAGATGTCTGTCTTCTGGCTTATAGCACTGTGAGATCTGGTAGAAGGTTACAAATATTTCAGAGGTCCAACATCACCCTGATTATGGAGGCAGCAATGACCTCTGAAACATTGGTAAGCTTCTATCAGACTACACTGCGCTTCAACTCAGAAGACAGCCATCTTCGTACTCACCACCGTGGGACGTTCGAATCCTACATATTTAATGTCACATCAACTGGTATATATGTATCAGGAAATATTGTGCAGAAATGGTCACTGTCGCATTTAAAACCTATTTCCCTAAAAAGTATCCTATATATTAATATACTTCTCTTTCTTATGTCAGTAAGATTGTCTCTTCTACTCTCTTCGTCTTATCTGTTAACAGGTTTCTGTCTTCATTTGTTTTACAAATGTGTAAACTTAAAAGAGTGTATAAAGCCAGTACCCTGTGTAGGCTGCTGTTTGCTATATATACGTATACACCTGTAATCATATATAAACAAAAACTTCTACTCGTACTAAGCACTTCGTTATTCAATTTTTCCCTCTATGTTGTCCATTTGTGAGATACAGTGCCCTTCCCTGATTAACGACCATGGATTTCAAGTGTCTGAAAGTAATCAGCCTACAAAGGACAACGCCAGGGCTGACAAGCACTGAATAGCATAAGTGTTATTTTACTGTTCATAAGCTACTTCTCATCTAAGACTTTTACACTAAGATAACAAGTAAGATTTGTGAGTCGGGTTGACGTAGTCTGTGTAGCGTCTGATTACGAAGTATAGGGCCGGGTTCGATTTCCGACAGGGGTCAAGGATTTTTATTCTAGCCTCTGTGTTAAGACAGACGTGGAGATACCACCCAGCCCCCTTGTCCAATACTGCAGGTGGCCCGTGCTCCTGGGGGTGAACCGCGGTTGAGACGTGACGCTGGCCACTCACCCCCATCTAGTGCCGAGGTAAATGAGTATGGACCATAATACATCTACCCCCAAGGTGGCGAAAAGTGGGACAGCTTTAATTTAATAAGATGGGTGAGTCATGTAGCCCAAACGGATGATTTCAGAAATATAAACAAAAGATCTTATATAAAAACCTTATATAGTTACAGAATCGTTCATTTAACGGAAATGCTCTTATAGGACTGTGACAGCTGAATTTATTTTTGTAAAATTGAAAAAGTGCATTATAAATGTTAGGATCAAACACTGAACCTCCCAAATACAATGCACCAATGACATCTGCTTCATCAGAATGTTCTGTCTCGGAATGGTGAAACAAACAGGCTGTAATGGTTCTTGAGCGTTTCACTAGGAAACTGCACAGTGCAAGTTCAGAAACGGATTACACTTCACAAAGATAATGACTTGATTAATTGTAGACAATTGAATGCGTTGCTTCACATTGGCTTGAAAACATCGCACAGTTTCGTAGTGGCTTATAAACTGAAATTCTGAACAGATATATTGTAGTTCCCGCAAATGCTGTTTAAAATATTGACTTATTTTTGTGTTAATAATCAACCCCCTCCATTTGTTGGCCGGATTTGACACCTCCCTCATCAGAAATGTGGACACACCTCCCTGTAACTCCCGCCCTCTTGGACCGCCTACACTGCCCGTTCATACAAGCTATGCGCAGATGTTTCCTCGCGAGCTTGCGCCCTTGGCTTCCCACATATTTTCCACAGTTAAATCGTTTGCGCTTGTAGAGATTTTGGTTGCAAGAGGCTTTCGGTTGGCTCTGAGGGGTGGAAAAGGGTTGGCTAAACGCTTAACGTTATTCTGCTGCCGAGCCGAAAGCAACCTTCCTCTTTTTTATTATTTGGGAGAATAAAAAAAAGAGATCCTACAACTGCGCATAGCGTTATATACTGTGTTCTGTAGAGACAAGAATTCAGTCTGAGCTAGATACTGGAAGAGGGAAGACGTGTAGTTCTCGCGTTTGCCACTGCTGGCGTTAACATCAGTGGTTCTACACCGCTGTATAGAACGTGTTAAGTCGCGAGTGATGACGATTATTGTGTAATTCTTCTTGTTCCGTTTGTTATTTTGTGTTTATTATCGTGTTATAGGCTGGTAATTTCATTTGTCAAGTTTAAATATTTATTAAATCATTTCCATTAATATTTTTTCATAATAAAAAACACCATGGACTTTCAAAGCGCTATGGAAACATTCGCTGAAGCATGGGTTGCTGCCAACACTAAAGGAGGAAGTTTAAGTGAAGTTGGATGTTCGCAGGTAAGACATGTGTTACAAACAGTGTAAACCACCAATAGCAAAATTTGGATGTTTATTTGTAGGCTATGTTGGTATTTAAAGTATTCGAACTTAGTTTTATATTTTCTGATGCCTGGTTCTGTTACATTCCAGACCAAAATAGATAAGCTAATTTCACTTATGTATAAGTGTATTTAAAAATTAAATGACTAAATTCATGGTCGTATTTACAGAAACAAATCAAAGGTTAAAATTGTCATTGTAAATAATAAGTAACTTGATAATGTTTTAAAATGTGTATATAAACAGTAATGACAGACACAAATGTCATAATGAAATTACGAGAATAACTAAGTAAGGTTGCGTTTATTTGAAGTTGAGTTTAGTTCATAACCTGTTATCAGGCGAATGAAACAATAATTTTGCTAGTTGCTTGTATTGGTGTTAAACCTTATCTTTCGCTTTGACAGAATTATACAAATTATGTTTGAGAGAAGTTTTTTAGGAAGATGTTTAGACATGAGATGGATCAAATAATTGGGAACTTTAAATATTTCATAGGAAGAAACTTCGTAATTTTACAGGTCACTTAATATATTTATGAGAGTTTAAATCTGGGACATTGTGGTATCTGACCTTAGGAATCTTCGAGGTCTACTACCAGTGAGGTAGTTGGACTGCTTGTAGGAGAATAAATTAAAGAAATGGAGCATTATAGAACATTAAAATTAAATAATAAATATCAATGTACAGGAAAAGACGCCTAGATCCACTTAGGTGTATTATGATGGTGTTGATGATGATACGACAAGCTAATAAAAGTATAAAGTCTTTAGGATAATCTTATACTTACGATGAATTATTTGGATCTGAAACGATAACACTTATAATTATGCATTAAAGTTGTGCTTAATAATTATTAAAATGTATTTCATTCTTCTTATAAAGATTTAAATTGGGTACTACTGTCAATGGATATGGTAAAATGGTTACTTACCTTGAACAGTCTTTCCTAGACCAGCTGAATAACTGTCAAACTCTTAGAAAAAATAGTGCGCTTTGTGGGCGGGGTTATTGGTTACATGACGATTTCATGTAAGTCGTATGTCTAGCACAGATAGGCTTACTTAAATTTATTTATAATGAAACAAGTAACTTTTGTTTATTATCGTTTTTCCTTAACATTCTTAACAATTACGCTCAGTAGACACGCAATAACAATAAATTGTCAGTTTCTAGAAATATTTTATCAAAATAAGCACGTCTTTTAAAAACCTTATTTAGAATGTTATTTTGGGGTTGTGAAAAATTTTACAATATAGACGTGTGGGCCGTACATCAGAGATTCGATCCCATGCGTGATAGGAAATTTCTCTTTGATATCGCTGTGTCCAGATGGACCCTGAGTTCGACTTCATTTTTTTTCTCCGGAGGTAGTTACCAAAGCGTGATACTGATTACTGACTTCCTTTCAGCGCCTAGGCTAATAATGCAAGGATGTGTGTCTACTTCCTCACATGTGTTGCTTAAATAAGCAAGCACGAGACAATTAAGCTCGTACCTTGCATTTTGTTGTGTATTTTCACAAATCGCGCCGTGTGTCTGATACTCGGCCGCCTAAACACTGGAATCAAGGATTATAATTATGCTTCGTACATACTGTGTTTGTACAAATTTTACCTACTGTCGTGTGTAATTAAGAGGCCGTGTTATATGGGCTAATCATTTTTATAAGAACTTTTGTTTATTACGTAATAGTTTTAATGCTCAGACATTTCTACACCGAAAAGTAAAACTACAAAAGTGAATTTATTATAAAAAATTTTGTCGTCCCATTTAAATTAACTACGCTGTTGAAGTAAATGTTTAATTTTCACAAAAATCTTTCTTTTGTTCTTAACAATAACGGAATAAATTATTGACTGGTTCTGGATACTTTGGGGGAGGGTACAGTGGTATGAGTTTGTGAAAGCACGTTAAGCAATTACCTGTTACTCTCTGGAAGTAAATAAAAAATCATCCTTTTCTACCTATGTAGTTGAAACGTCTGAGCACAATGTGCAGCTACGTAATATTTAAAAATTCTTTTCCGACATAGAAAACACAATAAGATCTGTTTCCTAAAATGCCATTTGGAGAAATTATCTTTGTTTATTCAGAAATTCGTACACACGCTGACCAAAATGCAGTGGCTAGAGATCACCACTGGGCTTTATGGGATTAAGAAGGGATAAAACACTTTATAAATATCAATTATTACGCTTTTTTGCACAAAGTGTAAAAAAATAAACGTATAACCTAACAGGAAGAATGTATCAGTCAGTCTGTTTTTGTAAGTATTTCGATTAAATCTATTACTAGAAGTCTAAATTAATGTTTCTTTGAGTGAATTTAATTTGGCTTCGCGTTAGTTCGCTTAGCTACGTGACATGCAATATAGACCTCAACACATTCTACAGATGTTACGTGTAACGGTTGATGTAGTGAACATTTTACGAAATACACTGAAAAATTAATTCTAAAAGTCCAGTGTGATATCTATAATGCGATTAGGTTGCCAACAATAGACTTATCTCTGCTATAAATTAGCGTCAGTTAGGTATACAAAGTAGCAAAGAACAGTTACGAAATATGTGTTTGTGTGTCTTTTGGTGTATGCTCTGTTATTCACAAGATGTTTCCCGATTAAATACCAAGAACAGGGCGGTAAAACTGCTACAGTTTGATCCTGTTTTGAATCGGGTTTACTGATATAAATATCAAGATTTCCTGAAGTTCATTGTTACAGCAAACTCAGTTGAAAAGGGCAAACTGCTGAGTCATGTACACCATTTAACGATGTCAACTGCACAGCAAAGAATGTTGCGTCTAAATTACTGGCACACCTTCTTTGTATTCCGGAGGTCCTGAATTCGAATCTCAGTCTGGTGGCTGGCTAAAGTCACAGGGGTTTTCATGATTATTCTCAAGACAAATGTTGAGATTGCAGGCCACCTGAACCAAATCACAATCACTTCATTTTATTATTTAGTCATTCTGTCGTTCAGTAAAGGAACAAAAGAAAAATATTAAACATCACAGTTATTTTTAATCTGTGTAGATTTTTGTAATTTACAGTCAGTTACACTATAAACACTTATAAAATTGTAGTTATTAAACCTCTGAAGTCGAAGTTCTTCTTAATAACATTTAAGATTTCAGTCCGTACCGCAAAGAAAACACCACACTTCACTGTTACAAAGATCAACAGGTTAATGCTGTTTTAGGAAATAATCGATGTTTATCAGGAGGACCTCAAGAAACCCATAGATACAAAATGAATCAGGTGGAACATAGGACATTGGGTTTAAAGGGTTACAAACCTCTACCCGTTTTCCAATTATTTACAGAACTACGCGTGAGTTCTCAACTGTATGGTAGACTGTATTTAAAAATAGTGTTTTCTAAATTACTATGTTACCTCCCCGAAATATCTAGGAGAAGGACGAACAATTGATGTTACTCAGGGACGAATGCGTTCAATCAAGGTGAGTGCGAGCCAGAGAAACTCACGAGAAATACTCTGTAATTAAATTGTTTAAATAGTTGTTAATTATTCCCATGACTGAACATAAATTGTTGGTGTAACACAACATATAAGCTATAAATTGCGTTATTAATTATTAGCTTTGACAGGAAGTTCTAAATTTGCATCATAGGGATCTTCATAATTTGAAATCTTTACCATATATTATTAGAACGATCAAATCAAGTAGAATAAGATGGGTAGGGCATATAGTACGTTAAAGAAGAAATTATAAATGCCTACAGAATTTTAGTCGCATAACTTTAAGACAAGATACCACCTGGGAGACGAAGGTCTTTATAGGAGGTTAATAGGTCTATCACAACGTGTTTTGTTTAAAAAAATATATTAAAATTATGGACAGGATTCACATTACTCAGGTTAGGGTCCAGTGGAAGGCTCTCGTGAAAACAGTTACTAGCTTTCTGTTTGCATGAAAACCTTGAAATTTCAAAACTAGCTGTGAGACTGTTAACTTCTCAAGAAGAAATCTTTCCATTAACTGAGTTAGGGTATCTTAAATTCTTGTCGTCGTTTAGAAGGACCTAAGACGTAATCGACCGAATCTGTTGTACGTCCACTCCGTATTATGTTATACTTTTGCAAGAATTGTAAATCAAAATAATAAACAGAGAACCAAAAACTGTATGGTAAATTAATTTATTAAATGTTACTATTACTTCTAGGCCTACATTACTGAAGGAAATAAAAACTATATAAGAGCTGTGTTAATACGAGTATTAATAAAAACAATAACAGACTTTAGCCCTAATAGCAATAATAATAATAATATCTGAGCATCCCACAGATCTGAGTGAATATTTTTCTTGGGCTATTTTCATCACATCCCTGCTTTAGAACATAATAAAGACGTTTTTGTGACAACATTATTTTCAGAAAGGAATCTTTTTTGATGGAGGGTGGAAGAGTTAAAGTTGTTTGTTAATTTTTGTAAATGGAGCGTAGCGATTGTTTATATATTTTTCAAAATTACATTCTGCATGTACAAATATATCATGCCCATGAAATAAACAGGTTGTGATGTGGTAGGCATGCGATAAGTGTCTAGAAATTCTTACAGAATTTTGATTAAAAATATTTTGTAAATATGAAATTTATAAGAATAAGATTCAAGTAGGAGGGTAATATTAAGTTGGATATTAGGGAAATAAGTTATAAGGATGGGAGATTAATGTTACTGGCTTACAATCGTGCCCAGTCGCTCTTGAACTTTCGGGTTTAACTACCGCAGTTATAAAACAACCGATATTTCGTGTCGGTTTATGTACTTTATCGTCATGGTTGAATTGCGTCATTCTTAATTGCATTATAGAGGATATTGGTTTGTACACTGACATGACACGCCTTCTTGAACGTAGAGAATGGTAATTTTGAGACCGTGCCGAGGTTCTGATCCTGATACGTCCGTTCTATTATAAAGTTTAGAATTTCTTTT